CGGGGCCCAGCCCAGCGCGCCCCCTACGGCAGCAGCCTCCCTCGCGGCTCGGTAGCGGGCGGGGGGCGTCACCTTGGCCCTCGCCCCTGGAGACGTGGGCACTGGGGCGACTGAGGCACAGGATGAGGGGTGGGGCCTCGCGACTCCACGAGGCCGCTGTCCGACTCGCAGACCCACTGCCGGGCCCTGTTCTCTACTCTCAGGGCTGAGGTGCTTGCAGGGTAGGAGTCAAGTACCCGCGGGCGGGCACTATGCCTCTTGCTTTACGATGATAGTGGTTTAATTCTCATCCGTGTCTGAGGTGCTACCTCGATCCCCCTTCGGAGATAACGTCCTGCCTAAGGCTTCCCGGTGGGTCTGTCCAGCGAACCCAGCCCCGTGCGGGAGAGTCAGGAGAGACCTGGGCTTTGGCCGGAGTGGCTGCTGGGAAACCGCTCCGGAAGGTTAAAGAACGTGCCAGGGCAACCCCTTTGGGACCCCTCCCACTGTGGGAGCTTTCCCGTCCTCTCAATAAATCTTGCTTTCGAAAAAAAAAAGAACATGCCCAGAGTCCCTCTAGATGGGCAGGCAGTTGAGTGGTCAGCACCTAAGTCAGGGTCCGAGCCTGCCACACCACAGGAGACTGTTGTCTCGCCAGACGTTGGGCCCAGAAGATCCATGGAGTTTTAAGAGAAGCCAGAAACTCCACTTTTCTTGTAAAAGCTTGCCGCCTGTGCGTGACTCCACCCTGTTCCTCTTCCTCCTCACCACCACCTCTGAACCTCTTTTACCAGGCCCCCGAGACCCTCTGGACTTCCCCCGCCTGCCTGACCCCCAGGCCCTGTTCCCAGCCCGTCGCCGACCCCCTGAGTTCCCAGGCCGCCCCACCACGCTGACCTTCGCCCCAAGACCCCGGCCGGCTGCCAGTCGCCCCCGCTTGGACCCCTGGAAACTGGTTTCCTTTGGCCGGACACTCAGCATCTCGCCTCCCAGCAGGCCAGACACTCCGGAGAGCCCTGGGCCAGAGCCCACGCTGCTTGACATGGACATGGAGGGGCAGAGCCAGGACAGCACGGTGCCCCTGTGCGGGACCCACAGCTCCCACTGAGGCCTGCCCACCGCGCCCGCCTGGGCAGCCATGAATGTAGCGCCCCAGGCCCGCCCCAGCCCGCCGTGCCACAAGGCGGGGAGGCCCTGGGCAGGATACTCACTCTATTTATTGGGGAGGGGGGGACACTTAATTTATTCCTTTGTACCCCGGGGGTGGAGCCCTGTGCCCGCCCTGCACTGGGGGGAGGGTGGGCAGGGATACTCAGGGACAGGGCATCATGGGGGATTTGGCACAAAATGCAGCATTAAAGGTAACCCCTGCCCCCTACCGCACTTGGCTGTGTGTCTTTCCGGCCCAGGCCCTGAGGCCGGGTCGTCCCCGGCGGGACAGCCCCCCCTCCGCACACCCTCCCTGGGTCTCTCTGGGTTTCTAAGTCTGAGAGAGGAGACCCAGGCCCGTGTCCTCTCCCCGGTCCCCACAAGAGCACCACACAAAGAGGTTATGCTCACCAGTGACAAGTGTTTTACCAGCAAATACGTGAGTCGGGGGAAATACACGGTGAGGGGAAGGGATGGGGTAGAGACAGTCCTGGGTTGGCCTCAGCCAATCACATCCCGAGTCCGGGCTCCGGCCCCACTGTCCTCCCGCTGGAGACTGCAACGGTTCATCTTCAGCTGAGTCAGCTGGATGTAACGAAGGACGTTGGTGTCTGCAGGGGAGGTGGGCGGGGTGTCCTGAGGCAGCAGGTGACATGGCACCCTTCAGCCCCCACCCCATCTCCCTTCCCCGGCAGCAGAGACACGCCACACCTCCATGCTTCTGCACTTGCCAGCCCTCTGCCAAGAATTCTCATCCTCCAGGGACATCTGCAAGAAATCTGTTCCCTCCACTCTTCTTAACAGGAAAACTCACCCTGTCTCTGCTCCCACAAGCCTGCGTCCTGCACCTGTTGTGATTCCTCTTCCCTCCTCATTGACTCTTCATGCGAAACCGAGTGTGGTGTCTGCCTGCGCACCGGCGCGTGCGCATACACACACGCGCGCGCGCGCACGCACGCACGCACGCGCGCGCGTCCCGTCCTTGCCCGCCCCCGGCGGATGAGGATGGTGGGACTGCTGAATGAGCAGCGGTGTGAATGGGCTGGTGAGTGAGTGGAGGAGCAGCGGCTTTGGGGAGGACAGTGGGACTGAGCAGGTGGACAGGAGGCTTGAGACGGGTAGTGACAGCAGATGAGAAGCGACCGGCAGATGTCAGAGGAGCGACGGGTGAGGGGATGGGTGGATGGATGGCGGGCGAGTGGACGAGTGGGCGTGTCGGGAATAGGTGGGTGGAGAGGGGCCGTCGGTGGGGGGCGCAGCCCTGCGGGGCAAGGGCTCTGCTGCTCTGCCCGCTCTTCCTGCCCTCGCTCTCTCCGCTCCACCCCCTCCCTGCCCTGGG